TGTGTGTGTGTGTGTGTGTGTGTGTGTGTGTGTGTGTGTGTGTGTGTGTATGTGTGTGTGTGTGTGTGTGTGATCAAATCTTGCATATGTATAGAATATAAAGGGCAAAAATGAATATTGTGCAAACGACTTTAGTATGTTTTCAAACGGATAATCGAAGGATGATATCTTTTGAAAAGTAGTGCAGTTATCGTTTCATTACATTGTAAATGCTCAAACATACCTTATAAACCTTGCTACCAGCCTTGACAGTATAACTTCCGTCGACTGACTTAAACTCCAAGTACCGTGTCACATCAGTCAGGATCAGCATCTTTACTAAAAGCCCGTTGGCCATAATAAACTTAGGGATTAGATCAACATTGTAGTCCCTGAATTTCCCTAGTTTCTCTTCTTTTGGGGGTTGCATCTTGGAGAAGAGCTCAAACAACTTGGGTAGAGGGCAAATTGAAGCACTCTCCCCACCATAGTAGTCATTCCGGTCGATGTGTAGCACTTTCTTCTTGTGGACTGAGAGCAGACCGGAGATAATGCACTCCTTTAGACCTGTGCCCAAGACAATGGCATCGTACTCTTCATCCATTCTCGCGTTATATTGGTATATACTATACTAAGGTGAGTTATATCCAGACAAAGTATGTCGCGAGTGAGTCCCGTTTTAATATACTACGTATGTAATCTCTCTGTAAGAGCCGAGGCCATGTATGATGGATATTCAAGGTAATATATTATTAGTTTTTTGTTTATATATACTGTAGCTGGGTAAGTGACGAATAATAGACAATTAATCAAACGTACCGAACTATCAACAATATCAAACTTTTTTTTTCAAAAACAAGTATGTATTTAGAGCTTTTTTTCCTTTTTCCTTTTGTTTCTATTTTAAAATAAATTTGTTTTTTTGTTGTTTTTTTTAATTACAAATATATATTATCAACATGACAAGTTGGACATTATAACATCACGGTGGCAGGAGCCTGTGAGGAGAAGGAGTCCGAGCGGCCGAGCCTGATCATTTTATAGAGAGCGGATATTTACCATAGCTTTCTTCGAAATAAATAGATTGAACACTTCAAGTCTTCATCCCACACTTTAACTCTATTAGTATATTTGATCGAGGATGCAAGGGTGGTCAGCCTTAGAGTTATCTGGCGCGGTTGCCCTGGCTGGGTTGGCCTATGGTCTAACGCATTGCATACTACCTCTAATCACACTGCGATAATCAAACTTTCAGAGCTAGACTATCGAAGGACGCCTTCAGAGAGAAAGTGGTGTGGATCACTGGAGCCAGTTCAGGTAGATGACGAATAAAACATATATATCAAGCTATACTATTTGATGCTAGAAATTTTGCACGAGTTTCACATTATAAGACTCATATTGTACTTCTGTTGGTGCACGCCTAAGGTCTACATTTATTATTTGAAGTGTAGTTTCGCGCGTATTTCATTTCACTGCCTAGTTTGTTCTTGTTAGTTGTATTGCAAACAGAATCTGGTCACGACCCTACTGTCCTTTCCTATCTGATGGGTGGTCAAAAATGAAGCCGCGTTCAATCTTCAGTGACAATATTTATCAATATATGCGGTCGTGATACACGTACACAAACGGATAGTCTAGTACTTTTTTACATAGCGAAGCACGAGCGTGACTATCGCCAGTCACAATTAGAACCAAGCTATAGTTTTTTTAGACCTTTGTAGTCGTGGCAAACGTACGCAAGCGAATGATACACTGTACTGTTGGTGGTCGTATCAGCCAGCGATTGGCACTCTGTGTTTTCCTACAACTTCGGCAAAACTTCATCATTGGTGTATTTCGAGAAAGATTTAAAAGACTTTCTATTTACATACCTATAACAATCCGATTATGCAAAATGACTACGGAAAATAATACAAAACTTTATACGTCCAAACATACGATATAGTTTTAATTACATTTATGTCAGTGCACACTTGTTGGAGCGTGTGTGCTATAATTAATCAGAATCCCAAGTATATATAGAAATATATATATGACTGGGTGCCAGTTTACTTATATATATATATATATATATATATATATATATATATGTGTACTGTGGTGTCGTGTGTCGTGTGTCTGTGTTATATATATATATATATATACATATATATATATTATATATATATATATGTGTGTGTGTGTGTGTGTGTGTATATATATATATATATATAGTAGTAGTCGTAGTATATA